ACGCGGACAGTCAGCTTGGGAGGTTGTAAAAAAGAACAGTTGGGCCGAGCAGGTAATCGTGTAATCCAATTCCGGACGGCGAACAACGGGGCGGGAGGCGGGGGCTGCGGGATGCAGGATGCAGTTCAAGGTCGAAGGTCGCGGTGGCAGTGGCAGCAACCCCGACGTCCCGACGATGCACCTCCGAGGGAGGGGCGTCCCTGCACCCCCTTCCCTCCGGCAGGACCCGCCGCGACATTCGTCCTCACCCGCTCGTGCAGGCTCCCTTCTCCCTTCCGATTGCATAACATTGCAGCGCATGATGCGGCATGGAGGACTGCGGATGAAGCATCCAGGATGACTCATGTTCATGCTCCCCTGGCGTAGCGGCCTATCTCAATGTCCGCATAAGCCTTATTCTTCGTATAACTCCACGCTTTTAGGGCTCAAGTGAAGATAGAGAGACGCCCTTACATCAGAGGAGTGATGATATGACTCGCATGTTTTACATACATGCAGCGGCACGTACCTCACGCCTCATGGTCTGAACTTCACCTTAGGGCACAAGGAAGGCTTCTTCGGGGTGTGCTCTGCCTGCGGGCTGATTATTGAAATTGATAGACAAAGCAGTAGACAAAGAAGACAAAAAGGATATGGAGAGATCATATTGGTGGAAGCGGGGGGTTGCAACAGACAAAGGACGTAAGAAATAGATTAACTAACGGCAACCTACGAGAGACCCGATAGTTAGTCCATCATTTACCCCCTAAGTCTATAAAAACTACCCATTTCAACCAATAGGATCACTGTATACTCCTTATGTCTTCTTTGTCTATCAATTTCAATAATCAACCCGCTGAGCCGGAGGCAGAGGGTCGTTTCCGAAATAGCTCCTATTCTTATTCTTAGATAAGCACCGCATGATTTACATCGTCATTAAGGAAAGTTTGAGGATTCATTGAAAAATAATCTTCATTTGAGGAAAACTTTATTCGAATCTCAAATGGAGCTCAACTATATCCCTTCGGAGATGAATTCTTGCGAGAGATAAAAAACAAAATGCAAAGGAAAAAATTCCATGATCAATTCAAACTTAGAGGAGGGTTGTTAAACATTGGAAAAATACTCAGTATTTTCACTTTTGCTAACAGCCCTTAAAAGGATCTACTTCAGAAGTTATACACCAGAATTGTACTCCAAATACGGAAGATGGGTCCTATTATGATGCTATTTTAAGGCCTCCTAAAACAACAATTAATTGCAGAGAAAACCATGTGGAATCTCTTGTCGGTAAAGAGCTGTTCAAGGAGTAACGAGGAATATGGTCAGAATAATTAAACAGAAAAGGGACCAAGTTACTTTTTGAGAGAGAGAAAAGAAAATGAGTTGCTAGGAGTTTTGAAGAACTTGAAGGTTGTAAGTTTGATCCATTTTCAAAATTCCCTGACTTTTCCCTGCCATCTTGCAAGGAAAACAGAAAAAGGACAATTTAAAAACAGCAATTCAAACTTTGAAGCACCGCATTTGAAAATATGAAGTTGAAACTTTAAAAAAAAAACTCAAATACAGACATAAGCACAAGAGCGGTCCTGGCTCTAACTTTGGCAACTTATCTCAATTTCTCTATTGTTTTCTAGGGGCAAGAATCAAGTGAAAGTTACTGAACATTTTGCTGCTATGCTGCTGTTGTTAAAAACTTGAGGATTACAAGTCACTTGTCCTCCAACATCACGTGACACTAAAATACGTAATACAACTATTTCAACTCCTGCGTCGCTTAAATTGCATTTATCGAGTTGAAGGCGAACCTGGTTACTCCTTCCCATTTTTATAATCCAGATGTGTGCGGGAGAGGGGGGTTACGTTCTAACTTTTGCCACCCATGTTGAGGTAAAAGTCAGAGTCAAAATATTATTCTTCAGGGAGAATCAAAATCTCGAAAGCAGCTAAACGGGTTAAATTCAGAATAATAATACCCATTCTTCTTCCACTCAGTAAGTACTAAAAGCAATAGCTGCTCACAATCTAATCTGCTTAAAGGTTTCTTCTTATTTCTACAGCCATGATACTGGAGGTGGGTTAAAATAAGCATGGGAATTTTTCAAAAGCGAAATGTATTTTCTTAACTTCAAGTCTATTAGTAGTAGGTATTATCTTTCATGTACTTAAATTATCAATTCCAGTTGCGTCGACAGAGTGCCAGCTATGCCAACTAATTTAGGGCCTCATTGCTGTGTTAGAAATGAGCAGGAAGTGCATTCTAAAATGAGCCTCAAGGCACAAATAGAGTACATTTTGCAATTCAGAGGTACGATTTCAGGCTCATCTTTGAAAACTCATACAAGCATAGGGAAACTAATGGTACAGACGTTGTTCCTAAACTGAGCGAGACATTGTAGTTCCTAATTGCAAAATGTAGTCCAAATGAGCACATGCTGACCACAATTGAACAGTTTTCTGTTCGACAGGCGTAATTCCAAATACTCATGGTCCAATACTCAAGTATGATCAACGAAAGCCAGGGTTCATGCATCTTTGAATCATCACCCGTCTAACAGAAAACGCTTTAATACACACCTAAATACGTTCTTTTCGGTGTTCTGATCTGTAAGTCAGCGGTTAGTTATTTAATTTCTGGCGAAACATACATCAAGTGTCTACCATTAACTAGTTTGAAGAAAGAACCCGAGCCTACAACGCAGCCGTACAGCTAAGATGGTTACATTAATCTAGACTAATCAGACCACAGCGCTTACTGAATAGTGAGACACACAAAGCTGACTTGAGCGTCTGATGAATTTTCTTCACTCTTAGGTGCAATCAGAACATTACAGAGGCAAACAGACGGAAAGTGATGACACATACGAAACCTCATCTTGTACATCACGACACACAACCAAGCAGACGGGTCAATTACAGAGGAGGGTTATTCAATTTGGTTTGCCTGAAACGGCAGAGTCAGTACAACCCTCTCAAAGTTATTGAAAAGCTATTGATACATCATAGTATTCGGTGATAAGCAAACTTAAATGTGATGGAAATTCATGGTGCCAAAGTATTGATAAAGATGTAAACAAAGACACCAGTCTCGACACAAATTTACTGATAATGGCTCGCCAAGTAATTCGGCTGAGGGAGAAATATAAAAACTTGATTATCACACCATGCAAAGGTAAAATAGCTACATAATTCCCGTCAAAATTCGCTGGAGAAAAGCAGTGAGAAACTTACGATCTTGGCGCTTGAATCCAAAAGAGAGCGAACTTAGATCCATTGTAAACAAACACAAATTCTCCGAAATAAACGACGAATTTAAGTCAAACACGCGTTAACGGCGATTTCGGAATGATTGCGAGAGCAAAATCGGTATCAAAATGAGCACTGGAGAACTAGAACGTTACGAAAATTCGAAAATACTAACGAAAAGCTGATAGCCACACTTCCCTCTAAAACGAGAGCTGAGCCTTTGTTCGTTACGAGTTACAATCCCCTCGACAGCAAGGGAACCAATCGGAAATGGATTATCTCGATTCGGGGCAGGAGCTTCCCTCGGCGAACGACACGAACTCACGGACGAACCTTCGACACTGTCAACTGATAAGACGAACACGCTGATTATCCACCAAATCAGTCTCCACCCGTGCCTCAATTGAACTCACCCCATCTAATTATTGCTGCCGAGCGGAGGCAACGTCGGAGTACGGCGAATGAAACGAAATGTAATGAAGGGACCAGAAAATCCCTGGACGAATTCTGCGCGAGCTAAGATCGCTTTGGCAGGAGTCCCATCCGAGCGCTTTTTTTCCCCCTTTATTCCGGTGACAACCTCAGTACGGCGGTCTAAATTTAAATTGCGCTCACGGGTTCATGAGTTCATTACAATGGGCAGGAGATTCGAGCATCGAGCACAATACGTGCAGTTACATACGGCGAATTCGTTCGTTGGGCATTGCACAAAAGGTGCGCGCCAGCAATCAATAGACAGCTGATACGACGCAATAACCGAGCTTGTCAGGAGAGTCGATAGAGGGCAGCATCGGCTGATGTTTAGAATTTTAGTTCCTACGTTTGCCGCATGAGTGCGACAGTAGCGCGCGACAAGGTGTAAAACGGCGCGAATTATGAATGAATGGACTTCCGCGTATCTTGCGAGACGGACCATGTAATGTGTTGTTCCGTACCATAGTCATACTTACTTAAACCCCTTTTCCCGAGGAAGAAAAAGGTTGAATTTTCCGAGTTTTGAGGGTGTTCTTCACGCTGATGATTGAGGGTAAAAATAATTGAATAGGTGATACGAAAATATAAGAAATAAATGAATAAAAATAAAATAAAAGAGGAGAAGAGCGCAAACTATTATGTCATAAGTGGAAAATGACTAGACAGTGAATTTACATACGATTAAAAACTTCTGCACACACGTGTGAATGAAAAGTATGTTGGCTAAATGGAACTACTGAACAATATGTGGGCTTTTAAAAAGATTTGCCAGAGACAATTAGAGGGAAAGAAGCCTTGATCAAGGGTACTCTTCGGATATCAAAATTCCACGGTGACAAGAATTTACAGGAGAGTAAAGAAAATCTATTCGCTGTGTTAATTAACTGCGAAAAGTTCCAACTATCAGAACAGGGTGGAAAAATGAATTTACGGTAAAGCAGTTAAAAAATTACGGCGGAGCTTGGGGGATTTTGTATAAAAGACATAATACACATCATGCTTCGGAAAAACTGGAAAAAATGAACAATTGGCAAGATGAAGGGCAAAGGGAGAAAAGGACGTGGATCTACCGTTATGTTAATTTTTGCAACTGTACATTAGCATTTCAGGAAGAAGAGGAGTTTAAATCATTTGCAAAAATTTAACTAAGTTGAAGAACATTTTTTGTGCCTTTGACACCAAGAAAACACAATCAAAGTTGGTAAATTACTACGTGAAAACATGGGGATATACAGATGATTTCTTCCCCTGTGCCCTTCAGCCTTCAGGTAGCCTCAGATGACAGTCAGTGAGAAATTTACCTTTAGGATGTAGCCTTTCAGGGTGGAACCAAGCATCTGAAACAAAGAAATACAACTATTTTAAAACCATGAGACACTTTTGAAATTGGAGGGTTTCAATGTATGTGAATGAAAAGAAAAATGGTACGTGTTGGTTAATAATGATATTGGACGGATTGAATCTATGTCATCCGATCGCAATCATTATCGTTCAACGACTTTGGAGACTATTTCCAGCGAATGTGGAAAACTCGTTTCCAATACTTCGAAAAGAACTCACTATGGCATAAGTTGTTTTCAAGGCCCCTAAGATTTTGAGCGATAACTATAACAGCACTGTCGTCGTAGGGTTGCATGATCGAAATGTTGAAGGCGAATTTTGTGCGCGGTGGGATTGCAATTTCGGCTTGAATATCTTCCCGTCACGTCGTTTCGTGTTTAGAGACAATGCGCAGTGTCGCACCTTTCATCATTGTACCACCAGAGTGATGAAATCATTGGATCAGGGCGGGGGTGTGCGTGCCCCCAGAGCACTCCGCAGTCTTTTCACGGAAGCAGGAAAGGACTGCGGGCTGTGCACCGGTGTTCGAGACTCACTGGATCTAGAGTCGAGACTCTTAAAAACATCGACAAGAAAAAGTACTCTTGATTCGATCAGAATCTAGCTTAAATCAATAACCAAGCCTCTTAATGTAAGCGGATTTCGTTTTGATTCGAGCAAAAATCCGATTGAATCAAGAGTATTTTTTCTTGTCCATGTTTTCAAGAGTCTGGACTCTAGATCCAATGTGTTTTTTTCCAGTGTTGGTAGACAAATATTCAAAAATTTCCCTGAAAATTAGTGATTTAACAGGGGAAATTTAGGCTTATACGGCGTTCTTGCTTAGCACGGCAGCTCGGTGGGGGAGTCAAGCTCGTCGAACGGTTGATCCGGGTTCGAGCTTTTCTTCGGATGGAACGGAAGAGTAGCCGCTAATAATGGGTCAAGACACTCGCTCGCGGCGAGAAGGGATTTCCCGCTTGGAGCTCCCTCGTCCCCATTTATTTCCTCAAAGCCCCTTTTCCTGGATCCGCCGCACAGTGGACCGAGTTCATTAGAGAGGTCGGACACAATTTGGAAATTTTAAACGCTTATAACTCCGTTTGTACAAAACTTTGAGGTTCTAAAAGTGGTTCAATTGGTTTCCTCGTAAAATTTTCTTCTGGAAGCACCCCTTATAGTTTGAAATGGGACGGAATAAACATCAAAATTCGCAATTTTAGTAAAAAATTTCATGTCCGACCTCTCTAATCGACTCGGTCCACTGTGCGCCGCCGCTCGGCGGATCGAGTCGATGGGAAAAGTCAGGACAAAATTTGGGAACATTAAAAGCTCACAACTCCACCATAGAACGAGGAGGTTTTAAAAATGGACAGATTTTATAAGGAAGGAACCAACCAAACTTTCCGAAAAAACTTGAGCTTAGAAAGTTCCTGAGTTTCACTGGCCGTATATTTTCTCCTGCCAAAAACTGAAAGTCTAAAAACAAACAATTTTTGTGAAAAGAGGTTAAAGTTCATTTTTTACATTGAGCCTTAGGCAGGAATAAAACTTCGAACCTCTTTTTCTCAGTTTCAACTTAATGTGGATGGGTTCCATCCTGATGAACTCGGTCCAAATGGCCCCGCACTGGAAAAAAACACATTGGATCTAGAGTCCAGACTCTTAAAAACGTCGACAAGAAAAAGTACTCTTGATTCAATCAGAATCTAGCTAAAATCAAGAACCAAGCCTCTTAATTTAAGTGGATTTCGTTTTGATTCTAGCAAAAACCCGATTGAATCACGAGTATTTTTTCTTGTCAATGTTTTCAAGAGTCTGGACTCTAGATCCAATGTGTTTTTTTTTCCACACTGAAAAAAACAATATGCTATTTAAGCACCTAGGATGTCAAAAATGTGTCAGGTGATCCCACGATGCTGCCTTTACTGCCCTTGTAGTTAACTTTACATCCTATGAAAGCAAACTCAATTGCGTATGCAATCAAGGTAGCATGTTAGGATCACGAGACACATTTTTGACATCCTAGGTGCTAAAACAGCGTACCATTTTTTTTGCAGTGAGTGCATTGGTTTTCTCGTGAAATTTACTTACGATACCTTAAACTTTACAATTCCACGAAATGAACACCTAAAGTTGCAGTTTTTGTCAAAAATTTCATGTCCGTTCTCTGTCCTGAACTCAATCCTCTGTGCGCCAGCCGCGCCGGCAAATTGATTTAAAAGCTGCGACCGGGGCGGCGATCCCTCACTTCGCGGAAATCAAAGGCTGGAGCTCGGCTGCAACGATAAAACCAATCAAGACGCTCCGCATTCCCTATCGACGTCGCGTCGCGTCGTTCGGAATGGCCGCGCGCCGTCGATCGTGAAGGAGGAGAGGAGAAGGGAACGAATTGACGTCCCCCGCAACCCCCCGTCAATGATATTAAAGAGGGGGCGGGGGATGGGTGAGAAATGTCATTTTTCGGATCGACGAGTAAACTGCACTGGAAAAAAAAAACACATTGGATCTAGAGTCCAGACTCTTAAAAACATTGACAAGAAAAAGGAATCACCAGGGACGGATTAAGGGGGTGGCCACATGGGCCGCGGCCCATGACGGCAAATTTAGGGGGCGGCAAATATTGCAATTTTTTTAAATGTAGGTATAAAAAAAATCGAATTCAAAAAACCAAATTATCAACGAGAAAAGGGGACAAAATCTCTCTTTCCTGAGAGTGCAGTAATTTCTAATTTTGTCGCTTTTCAGCGATACAAAGAGACAGCATCTTTAATTAGTCGAGTTAAGAGAGGAACTTAACACGCTATTTGGCCCGGAGCTCAGCGCATAGTGGAATGATACGACTACTTGAGATGAAAAGGACAAGCCTCGGCACGGCGCGGCGGTCGACATGTAACAAATATTAGCGCCTACAAGACTGCACGAATACTTCACACATTGCGTCAAACACAGTGCGATCGGCGCGGTCGCGTGAAACGCATAGCGCCTACAAGACTGCATGAATACTTCACGCATTGCGCCAAACACAGTGCGATCAGCCCGGCGCAGCGGCGGAAGTTAAAATTATTAAACCACATTTATGTTTGTTCTTTCATAATTTTTCGGTTCACTTCTTATAAGTGGAGGACCTCGTCCACACACAGATATGTTTACAGAACTTAACTTTTGCGCAAAGTTTCCTGCAATTTTGCTAGTAGTGTTGACAGGACTTTCGCAAAAAATGTATCCAACAGTCAAACACGAGTAGGAAAACGCGTCTTATGCACCCCTCCCCCTCCGGCACGTTCACTTGATGGTTTTTATTGATGTTTCAAAACGAATGAGAAGGAGGCGGCAAAATACAGGCGGCCCATGGGCGGCAAGTAGGTAAATCCGGCCCTGCTCTTGATTCAATCAGATTAAAGCTTAAATCAAAAGGAAATCCGCTCAAATTAAGAGGCTTGGTTCTTGATTTAAGCTTAAATCTGATCGAATCTAGAGTATTTTTTCTTGTCGATGTTTTTAAGAGTCTGGACTCTAGATCCAATGTTGTGTGTTTTTTTTTCCAGTGTGTCTTGCTGAGGAAGAACGCCGTATGCACCTAAGGCCTGCCGCACATTAAAACTAGCCTTTTCGGGAGGTTTGATGAGAAATTTTTTACTAAAACTCCAAATCTTGATAATAATTTCTTCTCATTAAAAATGAGACGAAATTTTATGATAAATCAATGAAAAACTTCTAAAACCTTTACGTTGCGTACTTAGTAACATCGATAAGAGCGTTTAATGTTTCCACATTTTTCCCCGATTCCTCTCATTGACTCGCTCCCCTGAGACCCACGCTGCCGTGGTAAGGAAGAACGCCGTATGAACATTCGAAAGTTGCCAAATTTCCTTCAGTAAAATGTTCATTTTTGAGGAAAGTTATGAATAATTGTTCTTGAAATTTTCAGAAACTTTAAATGAAATTGTAAACAATATTATCTGAAAAATTGGAAGGGAAATATTTATAAGTTTACCAGGAAATTCGTGTTTTATCGAAGGAGATTTGGCAACGCCTGGAGGTTCATACGGCGTTCTTCCTTATCACGGCAGCACGGCCCGCGGGTGAAGTGACGAGTGCCTGGCACTGGACAGTCAAAACGCCTTCACTCCCGTGCGTATGCAACGCGGGCATCCGCAGAGTTCGAATAGTTGCATCCAGGAGTTAAAGTGAAATGCGTCCAGTATCCGTTGCACTCGCTACTATCTGAAAGCTTTGATTGTCTTTCTAGTGCATACCTTAACTTGCTTCCAGCGTTGCCTATTGTGTCAATGAAGTAAACCATTACCGATTTATATCCCGACTTTGGCAATTTTCCGAGAAATGCAGAATTTAAGTGTGTTACAACGTTGCCGGCCCTCGAAATTGCAAAACAAATTAGGTAGTTGAGCATGATGCGTTTCATTTGACCGATTTCAATGAATCGTTTTTGGTTTGGATTTTTTTGTTTTTCATCTTTCAGAAACACTAAATTTGACGCGCAATAAAATGTGGACCAAGTCTAGTATTGACTTACATTTCAAGCACTACTATGTGCTATAAAGGTGGAGTTGTATGTTTTCCTGTATAGATTCTGTGTGGTTCCGATGATCAATTAGATTAATTTCATCATTTTATTCAAGTGTTTATTTCCATCTCCAACAGAGAATTTGATTTTTTTTTCTTTCTCCTTCACGTTGAATTTCTTAAATGTTGTATTTAAGTAGATATTATAGTTTGAGTGTTATTTGGTAAAATTGGTGAATGTTTGTAATAAGATCTTTTAGTTTTTGGGTGCTAACTCAAGTAAATGTATTCCCGTCTTAATCACTGTATTAAATAGAAAATGGAATTCATAAAATCCAAAAAAACAATAAACATATTTACGATTGATAGCCACTATCGTTGCCGTGAATTTCTTTATGGTGAGTGTGTCTAGTTCGGATTTGGAGAAAGTGTGAGGCCCGAAGAGACGCTGAAAACTGCCATAAATCAGAAACATACAAATTCATTTAGA